CAATGCTTATTTTTGGTATTTACATAGTGTGGCACTGCAGTGGCACAGGGGCAAGATGGCAGATCTCGGGATGCATGTCTGACAAGGGTGGTTAGTCAAATGACAGAATACACTATAATCATAAAGAAAAGGCTACCTGTGGACCCCCCAGAGTCTTGAGAGAGGAAATAATCTTAATTCAAAAGCATTCTTAAATAGAGAATTTAGTTTCCATCCTATAAAATCTGCTGCCTGCTTTAGACACAGATCATTGCCAGTGCAAAACACAGAAAAGAGAGAAAGCAAGAAAGCGGGATTGAGGGACCCAGCAACCAGGGGAAGGATTTGGATTGCGATTCAGATTTGTACTGTTTATTTTGTATTGTGAAAGCTGATAAGGAGCTTAGCTCCCAGCTGTGGTTAGAAAGTGAACCAGAAAGAGTCCATCATTGCTCAAAAAAAGAACTAAACTTTTATTTTTTCAGTTCTCATGCTGAACTGTAAATAAAGCCACCATTTTGCACTGTATTGCTTCGGTTGTGTGTTTTCTGGGCCCCCACCTGCAGTACCTGCTGTCCCATGTGATGTTATATTAGAGTGAGTGACAGGCTATGTTAGTTTTGAGAGCAGCAAATCCTGGCTGCCAATGGTTCCAGTGTTTTCTTTTTCAGGACAGATGAAGAGAAAAAAGCAACAAAAATAAGAGAAAACACTGGTTCTGTTCTTGAGGAAATATCTGAATACATCACAGCGGCTCAATACAGAAGGCACAGAGTACCTTTCCCATGGCTACTGAAAATGATTCAGAAATTCTGGATAAAGATGAGGGCTTCCAGAAGAACATCACTTGAAAAACTTGCTTCATCTGCTTGCTTTGCGAGGGCCTGAGAGGGACAACGCCCGAGGTTTCCACAGTCTCCCAGATAGGGAGGCAGGACCCTCCCATCCTGCCCATAGCCAGAGAGAAAAGAAGTTTTACCCTCCAGGGTCAAAGCTTTGGGAAAGGGGTGAGGAGCAGCCTTTATAGTTACTAAGTCTGCATCTGAGGGAGGAGCTGCCATCCCCAGCATTGCTGGCGAGAGAGGAGCCTCTGTCAATCTGAAGCAGTGCTGTGGGACAGGGAGGAACTAGAGCTGTAGAACAGAAAGGAGGATGAGAGTTGACCAGAGAGACATGATATAAGCCCATAGCTGGATTATGGGGAAAAGACTCTGGCCAGACTCTGAAGATCGGCTACAGTATCTATGAAAGGGAGAAAGAGCTGCCAAAAGTCCCCGTGCTGGGGAACGTCATGGCCTTCTCATCCTGCAACCTACTCAAAAGAGCACCCGCACCAAGCTGCCTCACGTGGCACAGTATATATGTTGTATTTTTGTAAACCCTCCACAGCAAACTCAACAAAATTAGACTGAAGACTGGATTAAAATACAGTTTACAAATTGTGTAATATTTGAGCACAGACTACTCATAACAGTGGATTTTCATTACAAAAAAACACAAAACAGTTAGTAATAATAACTTTTGGCTTTTGGTAAGCCTGTCACCACTCAATGCTCCTTGTTACACATGAAATGTGAAATGTCTAGGAGAAGCGACCTCCTTTTCTTGTACTATGCTTTCAATTGCAGCATTGCTTACATCCCACCTTTAGTGCTGCTCCAGGCTAAACAGCTTTCATCTAACCCCTCAGTTTGCATAAACAGTAGCATGTTTCCATTAACACATACTGACTGCAACAGGTGTTAAAGACTCTCCTTCCTACCGTTATCAAGCAAGATATCATCAATACTAGAACTAGGTGAGACCATGACAATAGTAAATTTGAGCTAAAGAGAGCCATTGAATTTTCAGTCTTGTAGAATAACTTCTTACGTCTCTTAAACTGAAGAGTACTGTATATAGAGAATGTAAACTTTCCATTTCATTATTATGAGTCACTGGGATAAAGGATGCTTTTCATTGTTACTCTAGAATTATAATAAAGGAATAAAACTCCCCCAATGTAAAGAGGATGATTAGTAGATTGTTAAAAAATGATTGCACAGGTAAGTGCTGATATAGTTAAGCAGTATTATATTTTAAAAATACAGCCTTCACTCTGAAATAAAGTACATTAAGAAATGTACAGTAAAACAACTGCAGTGTCAAAATAAAATCCAATCTGAAAGTTTTGTTAAACAGAAAATAAAAATGTCTTGAGGGAAATGTTAAATAAATCCACCTGAAATTTACTTTGTATAAATATATATTAATGTACTTTCTTCTGAGAGTTGTTTATTTTCGTTACGTATAAAAACAAAAGTGAGAGGAGGAAAACCACTTCAAGCTGCTAAAGGTCACATTTCCTAATGCAGGAAGAGCACTTTGCCAAATGGGGGCTGCTAATAACAACGCAAAGTTCATAACATTTCAATGGCCAGGGAGAAAGCAGAGAGTATTTAGGGCAGGGTTTTAAGAGGAATGTTTTCTGAAGTGAACACCACTGTTTAAATTTTAATTACCAAAGTTCTTGCTTGAATCATCTCTGTGGATTTGCCTGTACAGACACAAAAGTTCATTTCATAGTCTTTTTACAGCAAAACTGTAAATAGAGTCCATGCTGAGTCAGGAAAAAGTGAAATGTGGAAATCTAGGATCATATACAGTAAATCAGTCTATAGAACTGAACTTATAGTCCACAGTGGTATGAAATTTTACACTAGTTACTGTAGCTTGTGGAATTTACCAGTGAAAGAAAGCAGAATGTCTTGTTAAACCTGTTACACTGTGAAAACACTACAGTACATTGCACAAGCAATAACATACACCAAATATTGGGGTACACCATATGGGATTATATTATTTATTAAATGTGAAAGTATTCATGGCACTGTAAAGGAATGCAATCAATGTGCACAAAGAAATTCCATAAACTGCAATGTTAACTGTAGCAGTTTAGAATTATGCATTTTTTCTCCAGCCTCAGCGCTCACAGGGAAAAAAACCTTGCCAGTTTGCATCCAGATCAATTTATGGATGCTTTGTTTTGCACTTGTTGTACCTCACATACAGTACCTACTGTATATCTACATTGATGCCAATATGATCAAGCACTATAAATCCACATTTTTAAAAGTTGCTGTATCTTTGCTTCCATGGCAAGGAAGCAAGTATTTATCTATTTGATTTTTCTGAAGAATTAGCTCTGTACAAATTGTATTTTGGGATTTCTAAGTTGCTAAAAGTTGCTGTGGAAAACTGTGTGTGGAGAAGAGTGTAAGCCACATACTTGAGATATTTCTATGAGTCAGCCACAAAACCCACTGATTTCATACAATATTTATAGCTTGAAGAAGTAATGAAAGACCATCAACACACACATTTACACCCATGATTGTACTCCATGTGTGTGCCAGCACAGTCTTAAGTGACAAATCATAACTAAAAGTAACATAAAACTGGAAAATATCAGTTTTCAAACTTCCAAAAGTGAACCTATTTTTTTGCAATGTAGTGAACAACACATTTTGAAAAAGCAACAACAGCAAAGACTTGAAATGGATTGGCAGGATAAAAAAATATCATTATACTATCTGAAATCTGAATTATCAATTTATCAGAATTCTTGGGACTCTTTTCACCTTGCAATATGACTCACACGTAATGTAAACTTCTATTTAGTATTGGTATAAAATAATTATAAGGCAGATATTACATATTACACCCTTGATTGCCACGATTTCCTTTCTGTCTCTAAATTATTCCAGTGTGCTTGTGTGTACTCTGTGATGTCCTGCTGTCCCATCCAGGGTGTAGTCCTATCATCTTGCATGCTATTCTTCTGGGACAAGTTCTTGGGTGCTAAGACCCTTACCAGGATAAGCAGCTTTCATACTGTATATTGGATGGATGTTCCAAAATTCTGTGCTTTAAGTTATGCATTTAACATATACAGTACATGTGACTAGAAGCTTAAATCACAATAATGTGAACTGCATATAATTTACAGTATATGTTTAAAGATGTGACAGCAATAGTAATAAATCTGAGTGACTTCTTAAAATAACCACAGTGGAAAACTTAATATACAGTAGTAACTGATTTCATGCACTGCACAGAAAAGACAAACAAATTACTTAAAGAGAGATATGCCATACCACAGTCAATAGAAAATTAATAAAGAAACTTGCATGCCACTTTGAGAAACTTTCAAAATGCAACAAGATTAGGTTTTTATATAAATAGATTCTGGGAAAACTGGTAGATACGCAGAGATAAAAAGGAAAGTAGACGTATGATGAAATATCTTTCTTTTTGACTAACGAATTCCAACTATGAATTTACATAGAACGTGTTTATTGTAGCAAGTTGTATTGTATTGATACTGAATATTACATTGTTCCCCAATGTACAAACAATTATTTTCTATAAGGGCAAGCGTCTCTAGGTCATTTGTAACATATTGAGGCCAGTTTGTCAGTAAAGATGAGTGTTGAGGTTCATTAACTGCTAGCTACTGTATGCAAACGTGTTCTGCACAAAATCAAACCTAAATAACTATATAAATTACCTTACACAAATCATGAATTATGTGTTGCTATAAATCTAGTTGTGTGCATATATATATAACAATGTTTTATAAAACGAGAAAATGCGTGTAAATACAATGTATGTAAATTTTATTGTATTATTTTTATTGACATGCATTTAACAATATCTAACTTAATAAAAGTATACAAAATCATTGCTCAGCTTAGTCCGGTTCCATTGGTACAGTACGTCATTTTTCACAGAGCCATTAGTCTTTGTATTAATCTTTATTCGGTATCTAGTACAGGGCTGTGGTAAATTGCTATATATGTAAGTTTAGCTAGCTGTCACTTTGAATATAGGATGCACCACGGAGTAGATTTACACACTTTCTAAGCTTGTCATGCTATTCTACGCTCTGATAAGATATAATTAAACAAATTACCAAGAGACAGAACTTAAGAGAAAACTAACTCGTTCTGTTCGAAATTAATAGGAGGCACTGTACTTACAGAGTAACTGTCTTGTTGGGTAAAAAGCTGGGCTGTAAAGTTTCCACTAACTCTCCGCTGTTGCACACAACTTTGATTCGAATAGTTTGCCTCCCCAGCTCTTTGAATCGCTCGGATGTGCAGCTGCAACTGTCAATGATCAGGTCGGGACAGTTTCTGTTTGCTGAAAACATCCTCCAAAATCCAGCAACTAGACAGAAAAAGTTCAAGAGTTTCATCGTGAATAGAACCTCCTTTTGAAATGCCTTTTCCCTTTCCAACACGGAAAATAGGAACCGATCATCTCACATTTAACTAGTTTACATAAGTGAAGGAGTTATCCAGTGTTGAGGAAGTGACAGAACCCTGCCAAATTCCGGTTAAGCTACACCTGACGAATTTTGTTGTAGTGGTTCTTCTCCAATAGCAAACTGTACACGTTTCTATACCTGGAATACAAAACCTACAAATGACATCTCGTTGCTTTCTTTAAAGGCATCGCCGGATGCTTTTCCATTACTACATGGATTTTAAAGGTTGTCTTTAAGAATTCTCTAATATCCTCTGGTATCAAACTGTTGACATAATTTATCATTTAAAACTCCATATAATATTCCATCCTCAAAAACTCCAGGCATTGTAAATAGGCGTCAATCAAACGTCGTCGCAACACTTCCTGCTATGGATCTTTATAGTTTCTCTGTGAAGAAAAAGTTGCAGAGCGCTGCATTCTTAAACTGGGTTATCAACAGGTCCGCGTTATCCGTGCTTTAGGTGCACCGCTGGTGCCTAATGCGCAATCAAGCACGAGGAGCTACCAGATGGGAGAATTGTATCAGCCCTCCTCTTCCAAACCCAGGGGAAGTGGTTACACATTTTTTGATTGGCTAAAAAGTACCCACATGATGGGAGCGCTGCAAGAGTAGACTCACCAAGTCTCATCTATCAGGTTACTTTTCAAATTTATGCACGAAGGGACCACTGTCGATTTTAAAGCATCTAGTATTACCAATCAAATAAAAGATAACGCATTTTCGCAAATATGTATCCTAAAGTCTTAAGGTAAATTGTAAGTTTAAATCAACTGTTGTGTCGAATGTTCTTTTCCTTTCTTTCCTTTGCCATGCTCATACAAAGAAGTTGACTTAAACAAAGGTAATATATTAGAATTAAGATTAGTTTTATCTATCAATTATGCCTTATGACATTTTCTAAATAAAATTAAGTAGTCGCAGCTTTAAATATAATGCATTTTATCGTTCTGTACTTTTTAAAAAACTTTTGTTCAACAATTTGTTTTTATACAATGCTTATTTGGCTTTTCTTTGCCTTTGTTAAAATATATTTTATTTTAACATATATTTGTTAAAATGTATTTTAACATTGAATAAATGGTGATGATTGGTGATGGCAAATTATTGTGCACTATGAAGATGGGAGCATGTAAAATGAATATCTTCAAGTATGTATCTCACAGAAGAGGTACTGTATATAATGAAGGACTGGTTAACATGAATAATTATTCATTTGCTTAGAATAAGGGATTGAATACAATCCAAAAATCTTTGAAACTATTTATTTGGGCCAGATTTTTTGGAACTAACAATTTTCAATTAGACTTATTACAATCTCATGTCCTACAAGAAATGTGTACAATGATTATATAATATCGTACAGTGACACTGAAATGTGTTTTGGAACAAATTGCAGGTATCACACTATTGAAAGCCATTTCTTCTACTAATCCTGACTATTGATTTTCTCAGCTACCTGTTTATGGAAATGTTGTGAAAAGACCAAATGTGATTTGATTTTGATATAAATTAAATAGACATAATTATATCTGCTTCAGTGTGGCTTCTTAGCAGCCATATATGCTGTACAATGTGTCCTTAGGTCAGTTGTGAGGTCACATTTAGTGGCATTTGAAACTTGTCTGACTCACTGCTTACAGATCATGCCTAAAGCAAATGTCAACAGTTTAAGCCCTTCCATGTCTCATGTTAACCATAGGAGCCATAGTGCAATATATTACATATTTTACAGACATCCAGAATAGAGAATGTTTTTGTAATAATTAAAGTTAACATAAAACATGGCAGAAGTATAGTTTCATATTACATTGTGCTTTGACCACATATACAGTATAGAAAATTTTATCTACAGAAAATTATTTCTAAGAAGTACTCAGCATGAATTTTGAAAAGACAGTTCCTTCTTGACTCGCTACAATTCTATTACTATATCAGTAATAGAAACAAAGAGGGAATATTACATGATATAAGTAATAGGTTTATTCCATGCTGAAAAAAGGAAGTAGAAAGAAAACACAACGTTTAGGCCATGGAGCCTTCTTCAGGTGTGAGGATACATATTCACACCTGAAGAAGGCTCCACGGCCGAAACATTGTGTTTTCTTTCTTCTTTTTTTCAGCATGGAATAAACCTATGACTTGTTCCTTTGCAGCCTATGCATGCAAACGCAGCTACCCACCTGAACTACTACATATTACATGATATATTTATTTTTTAGAAGGTTTTTGAAAACGCACATCCATCTAACCATTTTCTAACCACTTTATCCAATATAGGGTCAAGGGTCGAGCCGGATCCTGTCCCAGCAAGCAATGGGTGCAAGGCAGAATACACCATGGAAGGGACAACAGTCATAAAAATTCTAAAATTAAAGGCATCCAATTCAATGTCTGGAGTGTACAGTATTAAGAAATGGAACATACAAAAAAACGCATGAATGCTCAAATTGTGGTGATGTTAATTCAATTAATTGAATACCACGGGGGTCTGTATTACCTCTGTACTACCTCTCTTGCTCATTTCCATCATTGATGTAAATGCTGTTGGAGTTCATAAATTAGTCAGGTTTGCAAATGATGCCAAAACAATAGAATTAGCAAACTCTGAAGAAGCATGAAAGACACACTTCAAGACTGGGTAAATTCCTGATGTCACTTAATGGCATTAAATTAAGAGCAGGGGGCTACATGCAGGTAATATACACTATAATTATACAATGGGAAATACTGATCTAGAAAAAGCTCCCTATGAAAAAGAGTAAGGCATTGATGTTGATAATCATCTTTATCCTAGACAGTAATAAAAAAGCAATATAGTAGGTTGAAAGTTAGGTTATCTTGTTAAAAATGGGGAGTACAAATTAAGGGATGTTATATTAAAATTGTATGATGCACTAGTAAGACCTCATTTAAAGTAGAATGTACAACTTTGGTTACCACAAAAGGATATTGCTACTCTGGAATTAGTCCAAAGAAGAATGACCAAACACATTACCAGGCTTAACATCTGAAGGCTAAAACACTGACAGGCGAATTTTATAACTTTTCATAATCTTGATTCAACTCTTCAGAATTCTTTAAGGCAACCTACTGGTTTTCTTGAGTATCAAAAATGAATGTGAGGAAGTAAATGCTTGATGGAGCACAGATTCTACAAGGACAATGCAAAAAGTCAGTGGATTGTTAAAACAGACCTGTTCAATGCGCATCATTGTTATATAACATACTACTGTTAATCTAGTTTTTCCAGTCTCTTAAAGTTGTTAATTCTGTCCTTTCATATTTCAGTATTCATCCTGAAGAAATTCACAGGGTTGATTTTGTTAACCTTTGAGAAGTTTGAATACTTGTATCAGATCCCCTTGTCATTTTCGCTGTCCAAGGCTACACAATTTGTGTTTCTTCAGACTGTCAATGTATTGTAGGACATTCGTTTATTTCCTGAAATATATCTGGTATTCAATAAACAGATTCCAGAGCAGCAATAGATTTTCTATAAAATGGTGACCATACACAGATGCAATTTATACAACTAGAGGCAACAATAATTGGTTGGGATGTGTATTAAATAAGATAATAACTTAAATAAGCTATTCCACAAGAATTACTGTAAAATCTTGTTTCAGACAGGTATCTAAAATCTTCAGTAGAAATATTTTTGTTCAAGCAAATACAGTGTTGTATTTAAAAGGACCCTAGTCATCAAAAATTTAGAACATCGTATTTTTACTATAGTGTCAAATGTTTACATACTGTAGTTTTAGAAAATTCCCATTAAAGGACATTTTAAACTGACTTATTAAAGACAGTTTCCTTTTCAAAAGCCTTCAGATATTTCAATGTTTTTATTCAAAATACAGAAATAAAAATAGAACTTAGCTATGTAAAATAAAAAGGTAATAGCTGATATTGTTGGGAGAAAAATGCACTTTATACTGTTATTAAAATCCCTATGGAAGCTGTTTCCAGGATACAGAAAGAATGGCATACAAAAGAGAGATGTGTCACAGTTGTCTGTTATGGATAAGAACACTTTGTACCATTCCATCCTAAACAATGATTTGAGAAAAAAGAAGAACAGAAGAAAGAGTTATCAACATCTGGGTTCTTATAAAATATTAAAATGAATACAAAATTAACAGAATAAAAAAATCATTGTAGTCTATTTAATTCTCAATGATCAAGTCTGCTGCATGCATTGCTATTTCATAATTAAATCAAACGTTCCAATCTTAAGTTGTTGCTCCCTGAGTTTTCCAATGTGTAAAGTCCAATTCTAGTACTACAACTAATAACAGTGCTTGATCATCAGTCACATAATAATCTATGAATATTCAGTTATTAGAAAAAGAATTTCAGAATGTATTGGAAGAAAAAGCTTAATATCACCAGGACTAACTACAAAAGATAAACTGTAATTTAGAAAGTGAAAAATAATGGTGGTTTGACATGGCTTTCACTTCAGTAAAACTCTTAAATAAAAAAATATAAATAAAATAAACTAGATCTGGCTTTTAACCAGTTCTAATTTGTCATTCCTTTAAACTTTATGGTAACACTAACACACACAATCATAACTTTTCACTCGCCATCAAAATGCATACTTATTTGCCACTTTGTACACACTGAATCATATTTGTTTTATTTCCAGAATGTGACTGCTCCAAGTTTGGGGTTATTTAGACAGTTAGCGAGAAATATCAATTATGTCTTCATATTGTGTGTGACCACAATAGCCTTAGGGCAGAAGTGGCAGCTGGATAAACTCATGAAAGAAAGAAGTGTTTCCCCAGTACATTTGCTGCACAGAATTTCATAACCATGAACTGCCCCTGAAGGGAGTTCAAGCATAAAGATGAATTTTAACACAGGTTTTTGACCTGCCAAATGTGTACTGCTTATCATCTGTCACATCCCAAGGCAAATTTGAACTTTTTTTCGTAAGGAGAAAGAGAGCCTTTCCTTTTTGTACAAAAAGCTTTGTTTACACAGATGTACTACACCTTTATTTATAATAACTGAATCTTCTTGGGAACTGACCTCAAGACACTTAGGAATTAACTCTGGTTTGTTGACTTCATCGGTTGAAATGATAAATCTTTAATGGAACATGGAGACAAGAGAACGTTTTTGGACATATGCCACAAACATTAACTTGGCTACTTGCATTTTTTTAATGGAAAACAGAACTCACTGCCTTGATATTTTGTAAATATTCTTCTAAAGTGGTACAGAACCAGACTATCTGCCAAACAAAAAGAAAAAACAGATCAATAAAACAACAATATTGATAGAAGATAACAACAATAACATATTTTAGCTATAAAATAAATAGTTATTTTGAGTAGTGAGTGATAAAAATCCATTTAATCCAGAAACAAGTAAGATGTGTTATCAATTACAGATTTTCCAGAATTTTAAGGGGAATGAAAAGGGAAAAGATTCAAGGGAAGATCAAATTTATTGCTTATATTCATTACAATAAA